AAGAAACTGAGGGTTGCTGGAGGGGAGGGGGTAACTGGGTGATGGACAGTAAGAATGGCAAGTGGTATAATGAGCACTGACTGTTATACACAACTGATGAATCACTGACCTCTATCTCTGAAACTAATAACACATATGTTAATTAATTAAATTTAAATAAAACAGAATTTTTTTAATTGTTTTTTCATTTATTTATTTGACAGAGAGAGAGAGATCACAAGTAGGCAGAGAGGCAGGCAGAGAGAGAGGAGGAAGCAGGCTCCCTGCTGAGCAGAGAGCCCGATGCGGGGCTCGATCCCAGGACCCTGAGATCATGACCTGAGCTGAAGGCAGAGGCTTTAACCCACTGAGCCACCCAGGCGCCCCAAATAAAATAGAATTTTTAAAAAGGAAATAAAACATGTACAGATTGGGAACAAAGCCATCAAACTGTCTTTGTTTGCAGATGACATGATCATTTATGTAGGGCATCTGAAAGAACTGACAAAAACCAAAAACCAAAAAAACCTCCCACAGCTAATAAGGAAGTATTAGCAAGGTTTGGGCCTCCTGGGTGGCTCATGGGGTGTAGTAAGCAGTTCTTGATCTTGGGGTTTGTAAGTTCGAGCCCCAAGTTGGGTATAGTGATTGCTTAAAAATAAGATCTTAAGGGGCGCCTGGGTGGCTCAGTGGGTTAAAGCCTCTGCCTTCGGCTCGGGTCATGATCCCAGGGTCCTGGGATCGAGCCCCACATCGGGCTCTCTGCTCAGCGGGGAGCCTGCTTCCTCCTCTCTCTCTGCCTGTCTCTCTGCCTACTTGTGATCTCTATCTGTCAAATGAATAAATAAAAAAAATCTTTAAAAAAAAATAAGATCTTAAAATAGGAAAAAAAAGAAAAGTCAATTGCTTTCCTATGTACCAACAATGAACAAGTAGAATTTGAAATTTAAAACATAACATTTACATTAGCATGCCTCAACATGAAATAGTTAGGCAAAAATCTAACAAAATACACATCAGATCTATATGAGAAAAACTATAAAACTCTGACGAACAAAGTCAAAGGAGAATTACAGAAATGGAGCAATAATCCACATGTATGGCTAGGAAGACTCAATATTATCAAGATATCAGTTCTTCCCAACCTTACCTATAGATCAATGCAATCCCAATCCCAGCAAGTTAGTTTATGGATATTAACAAACTAATTCTAAATTGTATATGGAGAGGCAAAAGGCCCAGAATAGCTCAGACAGTACCGAGAGGGAAAACAAAGTTGGAAGGGTGACGCTGTCTGATTTCAAGACTTACTATAAAGCTACAGTAATCAAGGCAGTAGAGTCTTGGTGAAAACAGACAAACAGATCAGTGAACCCGAACAGAGAGCCCAGAAATAGACACCCATAATACAGTCAAGGAACTTTTGACAAAAGAGCAAAAGCAAAAAGATTGATCAAAGATAGTCTCTTCACTTTCAGCGACTGTGAAGCTGGGGAGATCCTGGCCTGGCCTAGGATGTTGGATCTCACTGTCCTCCTAGCTCTTCGACCTTTCTCTGAAGCCTCTCAATAAAATGATTTGATCCTCCACACACCCCCCCCAAAAGACAATCTCTTCAACAAACGATGCTAGAACAACTGTACATTCACAGAAAGAAAGAAAGAAAAAAGAGAAAGAATGAATGAATGAATTTAGACACAGCATTTATACCCTTCACAAAAATTAACTCAAAATGGATCACAGACTTAAATGTAAAATGGAAAACTATAAAACTCCTGGGAGATAGCAGAGGGAAAACCTAGATGACCCTGAGCATGGTAATGTTTTTCTTAGATATCACACCAAAGACACAATCTATTAAAGAAATAATTGAGGGGCACCTGGGTGGCTCAGTCATTAAGCATCTGCCTTCAGCTATGATGATGATCCCAGGGTCCTGGGATCGAGCCCCACATTGGGCTCCCTGCTCAGCAGGAAGCCTGCTTCTCCCTCTCCCACACCTCCTGCTTGAGTTCCTGCTCTTGCTGTCTCTCTCTCTGTCAAATAAATAAAATCTTTTAAAAAGAGAGAGAAAAATAATTAATAACCTGGACTTAATGAATATAAAAAATCTTCTGCTCTACAATAGAACAATTAGAAGAGAATTAGAAGACCATCCACAGACTGGTAGATAATATTTGCAAAAGACACATCTGAAAAAGGACTATTATCCAAAATACACGAAGAAGTCTTAAAACTCAACAAATAAGAAAACAAACAACCCAATTAAAAAATGGGCCAAAGACCTTAACAGATACCCTACCGAAGACACACAGATGGCAAGTAAGCATAAAAGATGTTCCACATCATATGTCATCAGGGAAATGCAAATTAAAACAACAGTGAGATACCACTACACACCTAGTAGAATGGTCAAAATCTGGAACACTGACAAGAGCAAAAGCTGGCCAGGAAGTGGAGGAATAGAAACTTTCATGGGCACCTGGGGAGGCTCAGTCAGTTAAGTATTCAACTCTTAATTTCCACTCAGGTGGTGATCTGAGGGTCGTGGGATCTGGCAGAGTCTGTCTCCACACTGAGCGTGGAACCTACTTGGGATTCTCTCTCTCCCTCTCCCCCTGCCCTCCCTTCCTCTCTAACAAAGAAAAAAGCGAACAAACAAAAAGAAACATTCATACATTGCGGACGAGTACAGCTACTTTAGAAGACAGTGTGGTGGGTTCTTACAAAATGAAACATACTCTGGGGTGTCTGGGTGGCTCAGTAGGTCAAGCGTCTGCCTTGGCTCAGGTTATGATCCCAGGGTCTTGGGATCGAGCCCCACATCCGGCTCCTTGCTCAGTGGGGACCCTGCTTCTCCCTCTTGCTTGTGCTCTCTCCCTCAATCTCTCTGATAAATAAATTTTTTAAAAAATGAAACATATTCTTACCATATGATCCAGCAACCATGCTCCTTGATGTTTACCCAAAGGAGTAGAAAATTTTGTCTACCCAAAACCCTGCACATGAATGTTTATAGCACCTTTATCCATAATTGCCAAAATTTGGAAGCAACCAAGATGTCCTTCAGTAAGTAAATAAATAAACTGTGGTATATCCAGACAATGGAAGACTAATGGTGCCAAAAAGAAATGAGCTATTAAGCCATGAAAAGACAAGAAGGAGTCTTAAAGTGCAAAAAGTCAATATAAGAAGGCCGCATACAGTATGATTTCCACTCAATGACATTCTGGAAAAGGCAAAACTGTGGAGACAATGGAAAAAAGATCAGTACTTGCAGGGGGGTCAGGGGTGGGGAGAGATGAACAGGTAGGGCACAGAGAATTTTTGGGGCAGTGAAAATACTCTGTATGACATTACACTGATGGATATATGTCAAGATACATTATCCAAGCCCACTGAATATACAACACCAACACTGAACCCTTAGATAAACTATGGACTTCAGGTGATTATGATGTGGTCAATACAGGTTCAACTTTGGTTAAAAAAAAAAAAAAGTACCATTCTGGTAAGTGATGATGTTGATGGGGAGGTTGTGTATGTATAGGAGCAGGAAGTATTATGAGAAATATTTGTACTTTGCTGCCAATATTATTGTAAACCTAAAACTTATCTTAAAAAAATAGTTTTAAAGTTGAACAGATAAAGACATAGCACATAATAGAACATACGTGGGCTCCTGTTCTTTCCTCATATTTTCTTTTTCCTTCCCTCTTTAAATTGATAAGATTGTACTCATTGATTCTTTGGTTCCTTCAAACTTCAGGTGTTTTATTACGTTTTTTATTCCTTCTCTTCACGTTTGTGTCATCTCTTCCATTCTTCTTTACTTTTTCCTCTGCCTCTTCCACTCCTTTTTCTCCTTCTCCCCACCCATCTGCTTTCTCTGTTTCTGCTTCTCATTTGCTACCATAAACCAAGCCATGTGTACCACAAACTTTGAGTTTAAAGTCCCTTCCACTCCAGCAGTCTATCAGTCCTCTAAAATATTCTCCTCATTTATGTTCTCTTTTTTTCCTTTCTCCTCTTTCCATTGTTTTTTGAATTACTTAACTTCCCTGGACCTCAGTTTTTCCATGTGGAAAACAGAAACAATAATAGACTGTTAAAAGCATCAAAGGAATTAAATAAATCTCTTCCTTCAGAGCCCAACATTCTAGAAATGTTAGTTTATTATTTTCCCTAAGGTATCATGGTAACGTTGAAAGATGGCTTTGGGCTTGAAGAGACCTGAGTTCCAGGCAAATCTCTAAATTTTTATAAGCATCAATTTCCTCGTTGGTAAAGTGAAAATAAGATGCCTTCCTTATACCTAGGGTTTTTTCATCTCCCAGGAATTAAAAGACTCAATGCACAGGAAAGCCTCACTCTACAAGTACAGGCCGTCATCATAAACCGTGTCCTGAAGTCACACTGGGGATGCTGTATAGTTATGAGGAATCAGTAGGATACAATTTTAAAAGATGCCTGACCAATAGGAAGCACTTAACACATGTTACCTATTATGACTTCCTTTACTTTTTCCACTTCTTTCTTCTTGCTCCTCAAAAAAAAAAAAAAAAAAAGGTTAAAATTGGCAGGGGACCCCTGCTGCTAAACTTCTATTATTGCTTGTTGTCTCCTTCCTAGCTCTCATTTCCCTCCCTCCCTTTTTCCCTCCTCCCTCTCTTTCCCATTACAATTTTCCTGTCGCCCCATGCTCCCTGTGCAGCCCAGATCTCCAGATTCCTGGCAGCTTTGAGCCGACACAGAACCACCCGGTACCTGCGGAGACCCGGGGACGCCCATCTGCATTTACCGTCCAGCGATCATCTGACAATAAAGTTTTATTGAAACAGAATGGGGCGGGGCGGGGGGGGAGGCGCCCGTCATTCTTCCTCAACAACCAATCAGAGAGTAGAATGACTGGCGCTCGCAGGAGCTTCAGCGGTCGGGAGGGCGGGGGAGGGGCATGGCCCGCCCGAAACCGGCCTCGTAAGAGCGGAAGTACGACGCGGAAGCCAGCCATAGAGTTTAGTGGCCAGAGCGACTCTGCAGGGAGGTGGCAGGAAAGGCTCGGAACAGCTGCCGGAGGTGACGGAGCTCCGGCCCCGCCCGGTGTGCTGGAAGACGAACCTTCCAGGTAGCGGCCCGCAGAGTCTGACCCAGGGTACGACGGGGCAGTCGCCGTGAGCCCACGGTCCCTGGGCGGCCTCTTTAAGGGAGGGGGCGGAGCCACGTGGAAGGATCTGGCGGGTGAGGTCACGTGATTGAGGGCACTTGCGGGGCACCGTGGAAATTTGAGGGAGCGTTGTCGGGGTGGACACCATGTGACACCCCTTACCCCACTACATCCTGTGCCGTGGGGTTCAATGGGGTGCACGTGGTGGGGCTTGGGATCAGGCCCGAGGATGGGGGAGGGGGCGTGGCAACCCTGTCTCAGCCAGGCTTCCATCAAAGTGGCCGATTTTAGGATTTCTAGATCCGAGTTTTAGACTGCTCCGTCTCTCATCCCCCATTTGCAGAAGTGACTCAGTGTCTCTGCAATCCAGCCCCGGCTCCTGTGCTTCCAGCCCTCCCAGTGTTCAGGGGCCTCCAGCTTCACATTCTCTTTCCTTGCAGCTCCAGATATCCTGAGCCCAGGTCCCCCCAGCTCAGTGCAGCCATGAGTGCTGAGGTGAAGGTGACAGGGCAGAACCAGGAACAATTTCTGCTCCTGGCCAAGTCAGCCAAGGGGGCAGCGCTGGCCACACTCATCCACCAGGTGCTGGAGGCTCCTGGTGTCTACGTGTTTGGGGAACTGCTGGATATGCCTAATGTTAGAGAGGTGGGTTCCTGGCCTGGAAAGCCCTCAGGGAAGCTTGGGGCTAAGTTTGAACTTGAGAATGGGTGGGCCGGGCTCATTTGCAACTCCATAACCATTCAGTTGAACAAGAATATGATGATGATTAATTAGCAGCTGGCAAAAAAAGTCGGCAAGTAAACCTCTTACTTTCCTTTGATGATGATGAATCTGTAAAACCCACTAATTTTCATTTTTAAGCAAAAGAGCACGTGATTCGGAAAAGGAGACCTGATTTCAGCCTGTCTCTGCCCATGTAGTAGCTCTCAGTAAGACCATGTCTCCTTGATCAGGTCATTTTTCCTTTAGGACCTCTGTTTCTCTCTTTTCCCTTTAGCATTGGAGCTGATACTGCCCTTCACTGTTAATTACAGAAATCAGGTCAGATTATGGGAAGTTTAAAGTCCAATACAAATGAAAGGCAATAAACATGAAATTGGCATACCCTCCTTTCCCAGCTTTGTACCCTTTGTTAATTCCCTTAAGTTAGAGATGCCTCTAAAAGTGTTAGAAGGTCTTTTCCCTGAAAGACATGTGGCAAGATGCTAGGAACACAGCAGAGAGAACTGTTCACATAGAAGTGGCAGAGTGAACAGTTTAACGTATAGAGTGGGTGGGTCACCAAGATGTATGACCTCACCCCACGTCCTGAGATGCTAGGACATTGGTATGTAGGCAGACTATATTAGGTTTTTGAGGGCCAGTGATTGAGTTGATGGATTTTGCCTTGGGGTATATGGAGAATACTCAAGCTGCCTGCTTTCCTCTGCAGTGGAACTAAAGAGGGTCCATTAAGGTGAACAAAAAGAAGCACTTATTGGGGGCTTGTTTATCTCTCTGCTACTCACCTGGGAATTCCAAAAAAGTACAAGACACAGTGCCTATTACCCTTCTAAAACTTATATTCCGGGGCGCCTGGGTGGCTCAGTGGGTTGAGCCTCTGCCTTCGGCTCAGGTCATGATCTCAGGGTCCTGGGATCGAGCCCCGCATCGGGCTCTCTGCTCAGCGGGGAGCCTGCTTCCTCCTCTCTCTCTCTCTCTGCCTGCCTCTCTGCCTACTTGTGATCTCTGTCTGTCAAATAAATAAAATCTTTAAAAATAAAATAAAATAAAATAAAACTTATATTCCAGTTGCAGAGATAAGATGAATGGATATGGACATGTAAATTACTTATTTAGCAAGTATTTGTTGAGAGCCGAATACATGCCTAGTTCTGCTAGACGTAGGTGGGTGGGATACCAGGGCCTGAGGTCTGTAATCTTATTGGCAAAAAAGATATTCTTGGGTAACAACCTAAGGGTTTGATCGATTAAGTGCCAGAATGAGTGATCAGTGATAGGAGATGAGTGAGTGAGCTGGCCTGGATGATGAAGCCGCTTGGGTGCTAGAAGTCTGACACAGAGGCCACAAATTCCAGTGCCTGCTGAGGCCACGCAGCTGTCAGAGATGAATGAGGCTAACACAGGAGTCTTTGGTGACTTGGCAAGAACAGCAAGCAGACTGCCTGATGATATGCAGATTCAGAAATACTAAACACACTCAAAGGACCAAAATACAATTTGCAGTGTCTGGGTGTGCACGTGCCCACACATACTACTGAACACTCTGAATGTGTTCAATTCTGAATTTAAGAATGAAGACATATGGAGGAAGAGGGTATGGTGGATTTCTGGGGGAAGGGAGGCAGGGTAGTGCAAATAAGGGCCTAGAGGTGGAAATGAGGCCTTCCAATGGCGAGAGTAATCAGAGAGGCAGAGAAGTCCTTTTGGTGAGCTGGAAGAGCCAGTGAGAGAGGGGAAAGATAGGGCCAGAAAGTAGAATTCAAAACAAGTGAGGCTGGGAAACTGGAGAGAGGCCCATCCTGTCACCTCTTCCTTCATGTTCCTGCAGCTGGCCGAGAGTGACTTCGCTTCCACATTCCGGCTGCTCACAGTGTTTGCTTACGGGACATATGCTGATTACTTAGGTAACCAGAGGGCTGGAGCTCTGGAGTAGTGGAGGTGGGAGAAGGGCAATTTTTGGAAGGACTAGAAGAAATTCCTGGGAAACCCTTCTACGGTACACAGGGTCAGAGTTAAGACCTGAATTGGCATGGAAAACTGGGGGAAAAAAAAAAAGATGAAGAAGCAAGGGAAGGAGGCTAGGGCTTCCCACAAAAGTGTAATCAGGATTTCCTGTGCTTTGTCTTTTCTTCCTAGCTGAAGCCCGGAATCTTCCCCCACTCACAGAGGCTCAGAAGAATAAGCTTCGGCACCTATCAGTTGTCACCCTGGCTGCCAAAGTCAAGGTGAGTGACTGTCTCTCTCCATATACCACCCCCCACCCCAAGCCTTCCGGGTCCTGAACCGAAGGGGAATGTCCCTTCAAAGGGCCTTTCTGAAGGGAATTTGCATTCAGACAGCCTTTGCCCACACTGTTGCTCTTCTGCCTTCCCTAAACCCTATGTCCCTCCAAGGTCTGTATCTGAGCTGCACTTCCTGCAGCAGCCTTTTGGGCTGAATAGTATTCTCTTCGTTTTCTGTTTTGTTTTTGTTTTTCATTCAACATTTTTTGCATTTTGGGTCAAAATAGCAACCAGAGTGCCATTCGCTTGTTAATGCGATCACCTTCCTCCTCACTATAGAAAGTCCCACATAGGGGTGTCTGAGTGGCTCAGTCAGTTAAGTGTCTGCCTTTGGCTTAGGTCATGGTCCTGGGATCAAGCCCCATTCGGGGCTCCCTGCTCAGTGTGGAGTCTGCTTCTCCCTCTCCCTCTCCACACCGCCCCCCTGAGCTGTGCTCACTCACACTAGCATGTGCAGGCTCTCTCTCTCTCTCTCTCAATTAAATAGATAGAAATAAAAAAACAAAAACAAAAACAACAAAAAAAAAGAAAAGAAAAACAAAAACAACAAACAAACAAAAAAGAAAGTTCCACACAAACGGCCTCAGCTTTCAGATGTGAGGACAAGCTTCTCTCTTCTGGTGAAGTGCCAGGCTTCTGTTTGCCAGTCAGAAGTAAGTGCATAACCCAGACATATCTCTGTAGTTCCAGTTGGGTTCAGTTTCTTATTAAATATCCCTCTCCCACCCACCTACATTTTCTCAGCTGTTCCTTAACTTTCCTGTGGTCCCCATGATTTGACCTAAACCAGGCTCTCTGTTGTGAGGTGCCTCTGTGGAAGGAAGTGGGGTATGAATGGTTAAGTAACTCAGACCCCAGCCCCACCCTGTGCTCTTGTTACATCAGGCTTATCTGGACCAAGGTCTGTGCTGTCCTGAGCTGTGGCTGATGCCCAGGCAGATGTCACTTTCTTCCTCTGTAGGGTGGGAGGTGAAGGGTGGTAGGGGAACGTAAATCTTAAATCTTATTTGCCGTCGTGCTTCTCGGGAGGTTAATTTTCAGGGGATGGTACTTTAACTAAATTTGCCTTAGGCCCATCCTTTTAGAGGAATTTTTTTTAAAGATTATTCGTATTATTTAAGATTTTACTGATTTATTTGACAGAGAGAAATACAGTGAGAGAGAGAACACGAGCAGGGGGAGTGGGAGAGGGAGAAACAGGCTTCCCACCATGCCGGGAACCCGATGGTGAGGTCTGATCCCAGGACTCTGGGATCATGACCTGAGCCCAAGGCAGAAGCTTAATGAGTGAGCCACCCAGGCGCCCCTAGAGGAAATCCTTTAGGAGTAGGGGTGGAGGGTGCTTGGGTGGTTCAGTCCTTAAGCTCCTGCCTTCGGCTCAGGTCGTGATTCCAGGGTCCTGGGATCAGGCCCCACCATTGGGTTCCCGGCATGGTGGGAAGCCTGCTTCTCCCTCTCCCACTCCCCTGCTTATGTACCCTCTCTTGCTGTGTGTCTCTCTCTCTCTGTGTCAAATAAATAAAATCTTTATTTTATTTTTTTAAAGATTTTATTATTTATTTGACACAGAGAGAGAGATCACAAGTAGGCAGAGTGGCAGGCAGAGAGAGAGGGGGAAGCAGGCTCCCACCAAGCAGACAGCCCGATGTGGGGCTTGATCCTAGGACCCTGAGATCATGACCTGACCTGAAGGCAGAGGCCCAACCCACTGGGCCACCCAGGTGCCCCTAAATAAAATCTTAAAAAAAAAAAAGGAATAGGAATAGAGCGTAGGCAGGGGAGCTGAGGTGGGGACGGAGTGGGGGTGGGGGGGATGGAGAGAAGACTCTTGGAAGCCCTACTCTGCTGGAGAGCCTCACAAATCCCAGCCCAACCTCCCTGCGCCCCAGTGTATCCCATATGCAGTGTTGCTGGAGGCCCTCGCCCTGCGTAACGTGCGGCAGCTGGAAGACCTTGTCATTGAGGCAGTGTATGCCGACGTGCTCCGCGGCTCCCTGGACCAGCGCAACCAGCGACTGGAGGTTGACTACAGCATTGGGCGGGACATCCAGCGCCAGGACCTTAGTGCCATTGCTCGAACCCTGCAGGAGTGGTGAGACTCTTGTCCTGGCCCTGTTCCTTCTCTCCCTCCGGGAAAGGGGGAGGTGCTTTGCGGGGTTGGGGAGGGCTGGGCTGGGCTGCAGAGTTAGAGTCCCAGAGGATGAAGGGAGAGGCCCTCATTCCTCCAGAAGCTTCTGAGGGCAGAAGGGAGCAGAGGAGGGCCTGCAGGGCAAGAGGCTGGAAGCAGTGTTCTTGGCATAGTCATTGTGGGGAGCGGGGAGCAGTACTCCTGAGAGGCTCCTCAGTGGGGTGTTGGATCCTCACTTGTCTTAAGCTGGATTCATCCCATCGGTCTGTAAGCAGCATGTCTTAGGCCCTGGGTCTCTTCTGCTTCTGTGTTTCTCTTTGTGTTCTTGTCTAACTTTAATATACCCTTTTTTTTCCTTCTCTCCAGCATCTACCCACTGTTGTTTTCGGTTCCTCCTCTCACATGTTGTACATTACTCCAGGCACTTCCCATACCTGACTTAGGCTGCCCCCCCGCCCCCTCCCCCAGGTGTCTTTGTGGCTCCTGGGACTATTGTTGCATGTAGTTTCCAGGTGCCCTGGTGAGGGTCCCTAACTCAGACAAGGTGTTTGCATGCAGGGTGTTCTGAGTCTGTCTGTCGTGAGTGTGCAATCCCAGCCTCCTGCTGACGCGTCTCCGCTCCTGATCCTCGCAGGTGTGTGGGCTGTGAGGTGGTGCTGTCAGGCATCGAGGAGCAGGTGAGCCGCGCCAACCAGCACAAGGAGCAGCAGCTGGGCCTGAAGCAGCAGATCGAGAGTGAGGTGAGCGGGCGAGGCATCTGGACGGACCTGAGCTCCCGAGCTCACGCAGCCGGGGCCAGTTGTCCCATGTGGAGGGGTCAGGACCGTGGCTGTAGCAAACAGACAAGGTCGGCAGGGCCTATTGGATTCTGGGACTTCCCTTATTGTCCCCCATTTCTTTCATCCGGGTAGGTGGCCAACCTTAAAAAAACCATTAAAGTTACAACAGCAGCAGCCGCCGCAGCTACATCTCAGGACCCTGAGCAGCACCTGACTGAGCTGAGGGAACCCGCCCCTGGCACCAACCAGCGCCAGCCCAGCAAGAAAGCCTCAAAGGGCAAGGGGTGAGCCAATGTGGCAGGAACCGCTTGCTTCCGGGGTGTCCTGCTTTTACATCAGAGACCCGGGTGTCCTCACCCCCTTTAGTCGTTTGCATGGGAGTAGACGTGGGGGGAGGCCGCAGTGGTGAGGGGAATTCCCTGCAGCCTCTCTCTCTCTCTTCCTCTTGCCAGACTCCGAGGGAGCGCCAAGATTTGGTCCAAGTCGAACTGAAGGGACTGTCGTTTCTTCTCTGGGAATGTGGGGTCCTAGCTGCCTGCCTGTCCTTTAGGAGTCCTCGGCCTCCCTGTGCCCCTGGCCAGCTGATAACCCTAGGTTCATGACCCTTAACCTCCCTCTTCTCTCCCTGACCCCCAATCATAGATCACACCTTCTCTAGGGAGGAGGCAAGTACAAGTCATGTTTTTATTGGTACTTTTGCTTTATGTGACTTTATTATGTGTCCCATTGTCTCCCTCCCCCTCCCTGCCATGCTCTCTCCCTGTTTCTTTAAAATGGGGGTGGGGGGGCAGCATCTATCCCTGTTTGTTATCTGTCATGGAGTAGGTGGGGCTGCTACTTCTCCAGCATAACCCACACGTGTTTCTTCTCGCACCGCCCCATCCTCGCATGCCTAATCCCCGGTTTGTACTCCTTACTGCCCCCTGCCTGTCTGGGCAGCATCCGAAGAGCCATAGGGCTTCTGCCTTTATTCCCACCCGGAGAATCCTGGGAGCCAGTCTGCCATTCTCGGAGTCACTGGACACTTTCATCCTAGAATCCTGTCACACTATAGTTGTTTCCTTTCCTCTCTCCTCCCCTTGGGTCCTGGGAATGCTGCTGCTTCAATGACCCCAGAGCCAAAGAAGGGCACCCATCTCTTGACATGTTGAGAGATGGCTCTTTCTTAGCCCTGGCTATCTTGGAAAGCCTGATGGCAATCCTGGAAGGATTTATACTCCTTTTGTGAGTTTGGTGGGGAAGGGAAGGGGATATAGATTGTATTAAAAAAAAGTATATATATACATATATCTATATATAACATGGAACAGAAATAAATCTATGAGAAGTCTATCTACAAACATGCCCGGAAATGGGTATCTTCTGTCTTTGATATGTGCAGATGGGAAGAAGGCTCATTGTCCGTCCACTCTAAAGCAAAGTGCTGGGAAGAGAAGAGAACCGGGTACTGGGTGCCGGGTCCTGGCCTAGGAGCCAGGAGACCTAGATCTTGAGTCGTGTGACTTGGGACAGATTGCTCAGTGTTCCATCACTCACTCAGAAGCAGCGGATACTTGGCGGAGCACCAACACGTGTAAAGCACTAGATGTGCAAAATGGCCGTCGCTGGCCCTCCTCTCGGAGCTGGGCTGCAGCCTGTTACCTTCCTTCCTGAAGAGTTATAAGGGAGAGGAGTTGATAATAACCTTCAGGTTTTGCATCAGAACCACACAGGACTCTGAGATCTGCAGAAAGCAGCAGCACCGTCCACCATCCTCCCGTCCACCATCCAAGGCAGAGCTTCCCATCCTGGGACGATTGGTCTCCTTGGTCTAGTGCACTACTGTGCACTCTTTTTAGAATTGCGAAGCTCGGGGCGCTTGGGTGGCTCAGTGGGTTAAGCCTCTGCCTTCGGCTCAGGTCATGATCTCAGGGTCCTGGGATCGAGTCCCGCATCGGGCTCTCTGCTCAGCGGGGAGCCTGCTTCCCTCTCTCTCTCTGCCTGCTTGTGATCTCTCTCTGTGTGTCAAATAAATAAATAAAGAGCAAACATTTGTGAGGGAAAAAAAAAAAAAGAATTGTGAAGCTCTAATGTGAGGGACAGTTGGCCGCCCCCCGACCCCCACATGCCCGTGAAGCAGTTGCCTCCTGAGGGTCCCAGTGTTGACTGAGCTGCTCTCCAGAGATTGTGTTTTTCTCTAGGTGGACATCTAGCACAGACCACTCTGCGGGCGCTAAAGGTTTCAGTCACAGAACCAGAAAGTGGGGTGGGATCCTGAGGTTTTGATTAAAAGTGGGCTGGGCAAGTGTCCTGTTTGGAGAGGGCTGTGCAGGCTTACTGGGCCCACCGGGAGTTGACACTTCTGGCTTCTTGGTTTGCCTTTGCCCTCGATGAGCTTGTTGAGCCTGCTTTGTCTTGGTTCCCAGTCTCTACCTCTGCAGTAATCCCCTTCTTCCTCCCATACCCTTCAATGTGTAGAGGTTGCTAATTCCTGACACTTTGAACCCGTCCCCCCCACTTCCTTCCCCAACTTTTCGCTTGAACTTAGTATCTTGTTTTCTTGGAAGCTAGTTCCAGCAAGTGGCTCCATAACTTCTCTCAGCTCTCTAGTTCCCGCTTTCAGTGGATGGCTCCAGAGTCTAAGTGTGGGCTGAGCTGGGACTGCCTGGCTTAACACCCAAAGCGGGAGAGGGACTATTCCCATGGCCCCAAGGACACACAAAGTCAGTCTGTCTTTGACTTAGAGGGATGGGGTCTTGGCTACCAAAGCATGAAGAAGGGGGAGCAGATTATTTTGGTGCTCGGTTTTTGACCATGAAACTTGGTTCAGGATTTAGAGATTCCATGTACAACCAAGCTCAGGGCGCCAGAATATTTCCAACCAAGAATCTTAACCACCATGGGCACCCTCTCGCACACTGATCCCCTGGGGTACAGCAGTCTTAAGTGGTCTTATGACTGGACCGCTGTGGGAAGAGGAAAAGGAAGAAGACTTGCCTTTATGAGAATTCAGAGTTCATGCCCATGAAACCGGTGACACTTAAAAGACTATGCCAAAGTGTCTGAAACTAATCAGCGACTGGACTGGTGTAAGTCTTCATGCACAACAAGAGCAAAGACAATGTCTACAGTCAGTATTCATGAAATCCCATTGAAGAGAGCTTGGGAATTCTCTGTTTAGATGCGTTTTCCAACAAGAATGAATAGAAGGGAGCTTTGGGCAGTCCAGGCAATGTATTAGTTATCCATATGGTATAACAAATTACCCTAAAATTTAGTGGCTTAAAAATACACATTTGGGGTGCCTGGGTGGCTCAGTAGGTTAAGCCTCTGCCTTCCACTCAGATCATGATCTCAGGGTCCTGGGATCGAGCCCCACATCGGGTTCTCTGCTCAGCAGGGAGCCTGCTTCCTCCTCTCTCTCTCTGCCTGCCTCTCTGCCTACTTGTGATCTCTGTCAAATAAATAAATAAAATCTTTAAAAATCATTTATAAAAAAATAACACACATTTACTATCTCATTTTCTGTGGTTCAGGAATGTGGGCACACTGTTTTCTGCCTCAGGGTCTCTCACAAGGCTGCAATCAAAGAGTTAGCTGGAGCCATGTCATCTCAAGGTTCCAAGGGGAAGGATCTTCCATCCACACCCAGTGTGTCAGCAGGATTCACTAACTCATAGATGGCTGGACTGAGGAACTTGTTTCTGGGCTGGCTGTTGGTCAGAGGCAGCCCAGGTAGCCCCCTCTATCAGAGCAAGAACCAGAGACACCACATCAGAAAAGCAGAATCAGTCTTGTAACCTAATCATGGAAGAGGTATCTCGTCACTCTTAACCAGTCACCAGGTGGAGCCTAGTGACTGTCAGAAGGCAGGGATCATTGGAAGCCATGTTGGAAGTTGCCTACCACAGACACTGTTTCTGTGGGCCACCAGCATCAGAAACATCAGGGGAGCTTTTGAAAATGCATATTCCTGGATCCCGCTCGCACCCCAGTTCCTACTGAATTAGAATCTCCAGGATGTGGATCAGAAATATGCCTTCACTGTCCTCATTGACTCAGCTCTGAGCTGAGAAGTCCCATTTATATAAGCAGACTTGCCCAGATTAGTGCCAAATTGGATCAGCTGAGAAGGCTTCTACTGTAGGGCCTTGGAGGACAGGTATGGAGACGCAGGGTCACCATCTGGAAGAGAAGGATGTGCAAAGGTGAAACTTTGAGTACAGGACAAGAGAGAGAATTTGTCCTTTGAGGTTCTTAAGTATATGGTTAAGTAATTAAAAGTGTGATAAGTGCCGAGAAGTATAGGGTGACATGAAAGCATTTAGCATTAGGATCTACATCTTACTTGGGGTCAGGAAAGCCTTCTTCAAGCCTTCTTCTACTTTCCAGTGAAAGTAGAAGCCCTAGTGGCAGTTGGCCTGATGAAGGAAAGGAGGATGAGCATTCTGGGTGGGAAGAACAGTGTTGATGAACACCTGGCAGCGTAATATAACCCTAATGTGTGTTATACCTCTTGACATTGGAGTTCTGGGTGATTTTTGTCTTTGTGCCTATTTCTGTTGTCCAATCTTTTTATGATCGTTTAAGACTAATGTTAAGTGCTTCCTGCAGTCAAACATGATGCTAAGTGCTTTGCATATATAAACTCATTTAATCCAAGCAGCAGCCTTGTGAAGTTGATACCACTATTATCCTCCTCTAAAGATGACAGAAGAGGTACAGGGAGGTTATGTAACTTGCTCAGGACCACACAGATGATAAATGGAGTAGGCACACCTGGTGTAGGCGCACCCCTCCCCCCATCACTCCCAGTGCTCCCAGGCAGACTGCATGGGACAACTCTCTGAGATAGCAGAGAAGTAGATGGTAGCAGGGAGGAAGAAACCAGAATTTGAAGTTCCGTGAAACCAGTGGTGAGTTTGCCATCGCCCCCCGCCCCTGCCCACCCCATTATTGCCCAGAGTGGACTCAGGTGGCCCAAACCCAGCAATGTACATCAGGTCTGAACTGAAAGAGTTCCTCTTGGAGCCATCTACTTATTGCAGGTCTGAGGAGCCAGAAAGGGACTCCTAAGGGTCAGAGAGTAGGGGAATCTCCAGTTTTTTTTCCTTCTCTCCCACCTCTAGCCCCAGCAGCACCATGGTAGTGTAGCTATAGCTGCATAATGGGGCACAGTGGCTGGGCAGGCACTGAAACCTGAGGGGGGGGAATTCCTCTAGCACAGGCACTGTGGTCTCAAGAGCGTTGAGGCAAATCGCTCTGCTTTTTTCTTTCTTTCTTTTCTGGATGCTTAGCCCAGACACAAAGTGGGAAATGCGCAGCAGAGTAGAGAAACTAAAGCCCCCCCACCACCTTTTTTTGGCCAGAGGATCAGGAAAGGAAGACCCGGAGAATCAAAGTATCAGGGAGATCAGAGAGAGGAGAGAAATCGAGAATCCCATAGAGTTGTGTGTGAATTCTTGGGCTCACCTCAAATCTGCACAAGCACGGACCCAACCTTAAACATCTTACCAAAGCTTTACTAATTGAGCTACAGGGTGGACCACTGTCCGGGTCTCACTGACCACTGGGTGGCACACATCCGGGACTGATGTGGATAGCCCCACAAACAGAAAATTAAACTGACGTTGGAACCACAATGCAAAGAAGACAGGTTGCTGCAGGAACAAAACCTCATCAATCACCTGCTAAAACAAACATTCCCGTTAGCGTTTTAATAAGATCCAGAGTCTCCACCAATATTCAAAATATCCAGGATACAATCTAAAATTGCCCAGCTGATACAAAAAGCTCTCTAGGGAAAAAACAAGCACCCGCAACATGACAAATGTTGGAATTTAAAGCAAAGACTTCAAAGCAGTTAGTATAAACATACTGGAAGAAGAAAGGAAGAATGCTTTCAAAACAAATGGTAAGGTAGAAAGTATAAGCAAAGAAATAGAAGACCTAAGGAATAGTCAAATGGAAGTTTTAGAACTGAAAAGTAGGAGTAAAATAAAATATTCACTGGATAGCAGACTGGAGACTACAGAGGAGTGACTTTGAAGATAGTCAATATTAATTATGCAATCTAAACAAATAAAAAAGATAAACAAAAGAAAACAGGATCTCAGGGACTTGTGGAACAAGACCAAAAGATCTAACATTTGTGTCAACAGAGTCCCAGAAGCTGAGGAGAAAAAATATGAAGTAGAAAAATTACTGGAAGTAATCATGGTTAAAATGGTCCCAGGTTTGGCAAAAGACATACACAGATTCAAGAAGCCTGGTGAAGAGCAAACAGAATATACTCAAGTCTGTGACCAGACATCATAATCAAGTTGCTGAAAATAAAAGACATAGAAAAATATCCATAGAACATCTAGAGAAGAATAACCAATTTCACATAAGAGAACAATGACTCAGATTACCGCAAATTCCTCATCAAAACTAGGAAGCTGGAGGAACTAGAATCACACTTAAAGTGCTGAAAGAGGGACACCTGGGTGACTCAGTTTTTTAAACTGCTGCCTTTGGCTCAGGTCCTGATCTGAGTTCTGGGATCGAGCCCCATATCCGGCTCCTGGCTCAGCAGGGAGTCTGCTTCTTCCTCCCACTCTGCCTGCTGCTCTCCCTGCTTGTACTCTCCCTCTCTGTTAAATGAATAAATAAAATTTAAAAAAAATAATAAAGTGCTGAAAGAAAGGTGTCAATTCAAGATTCTATACCCAATGGGGGCGCCTGCGTGGTTCAGCCAGTTGAGCATCTGCCTTCAACTCAGATCATGATCTTGGAGTCCTGGGATCAAGCCCCGCGTCGAGCTCCCTGCCCAGCAGGGAACTGCCCCTCCCCCTGCTTGTGTGAGATCTTCTCTCAAGTAAATAAAATCTTAAAAAAAAAATTCTATGTCCAATGAAAATGTCACTCAGAAGTT